AAGCCATTGATCACTACCCGTTGAGCCCGACGATCTAGCCAGCTTTCTATCCACCTTACAGTCCATTCATCCAGCCCATACTTCTTTAACTTGGTGGCAAGAATACTGTGGGAGACCGTATCAAAAGAACTCAGGAGCTCCTGAGTTCTAATTCTGGCTATCACACTGGCTTGCTCTAGAGCTGAAGGCAACTCGCTTATGCCTCCGTTTTCAAATGTGGCCACTGAGTCTGTGTGCCTCACTTCTCAGGCACCCAACCTGAAACACCTTAGTCGCCGTGCCTCAGTTTCCCCATCTCAGTAAGGAAGGTAACACTACTGACCTGCTTCTCCAGGGATGGACTGGGATTAATTAGCAAGTGCTTGTAAAGCATTCTGAAGAGAAAAGTACTACGTATTTTTACATGCCTGCCCACAATGTACTACAGGATGTCACTGGATTGCTTTTCTCTTGGGTTATCCTGGGGCTAAATTAAGACCTGCTTACACACTGCCTAGGCACTGCTCCATCGTTAGTCTCTATGAACGCTGCAATGTAAAGGCATGAGGAATGGGCCCTAGTCAAAGAGGAGATCCCTGTACTCTAACCCCACTGTACTGTTAAACATGCCTGCTGATGTTTTCAAACACACCTAAAGGAGTAAGGTGCCCAACTCCTATTGAATTTCAGTGGAAGCCCAACTCCTTGAAAAATTCCAGCCCGAAAGCCCCAGTGAAAGGCTGAGTGAGATAAGGATGAGAAGTTGAACTGGTTGGAAAATGATGGGGGCGGGGCGGTGGAGGTTATGAAACACTGGCTTTTGGGACAAAAAAACTGTGTTTTTTCACCCCAAAACTCATATTTTGATTCCTGGCTGGGCCGCCTATGCTGCACCCTGGCCTCCTCTCTTGCCAAGCTACTGCAATGAATTGTGGGAGTCCCTGGTCACCAGCGGAGACATTGCCCAGGCAGGGAACTCAGCCCACAGAGAATGATGGGGCATGATTTCCCCAAATCACAGCTCCCCGGAGGCACTGCAGTGGCATTTCCAGACTGGCATTCGCGAGTTGGGTTTTTCACTGAGAAGCTGAAACGTGCCGTGGAAAGCAGACACTTTTCACACACAAAATGAGTTCAGTCCAAACCCCCATTTTCTGTCAAAAAGTTGCAGCAGAAAGCTTTTGGCCAGCCCTCGGCTGGAGGGGAGAGAGAGGGAATGCTGGGTGCCTGGCTATTCCCTGGCACTGCCCCAGGAGGTGTGTCTGTGTTGGTTCACCCTGTTCTTTTCCCTCTTTCAGACACCCCGAGGGAGCTGAGGAGACCAGGCAGGAGGTTGGCTCGGACTCCCTCACAAGGTAATGTTGCTTCAAAATAAAAGCAGGGCATGGCGGCTGGGTGTGGGAAGGCTGTGTGGGCGTGAGAGACTTCCAAGCCCGGAGTTGGGGAAATCTTGGAAGCAAAACTCTAGCCTGGCATAGAGTATGATCATTATATTTCTATTCCTCGCTGTCTTTTCAGGGACAGATCTGAGTGTTTTTGTACCAGGGCTGTGCAAAATGGTGACAGGGCTTTTTTCTCCCATGGAAATTTTCACAACAATTTTGTGCCCATAAAATGTAGCTTTTTGGGGTGGTTTCATGACATGGGGCTTTCATGAGGGGAAAAGACACGCTAGAGATTGAGTAACCCTGTCCTGAACCTGTTGCTGCTGCTTCAAGTAACCATTGAGGAAAAGCAGCAGGTTTCTTTCAGTTTCCAGCCAAAGTCCTTTCTCTGTGGACGCCTAGTCGTAATCTGGGTCCTCCAGGAGCTCTGCCCGCTTCTGCCGTTTGACTATGGGAGTGCCCAGGCTTCCAAGAGGCCATAGGGAGCAACTCAGCTTGGTAGCAGGACATGTCCCGCCCAGCCAGGAAGGTGCTGTGTGCATGACTGACAGCAGGTGTGTATGTGGAAGGGAGATTTGTATTGGACATTGGGGACGACCCACAGTTTTGTGCTTTGTGCAGGGAAACCAGAAAGTGAGCTCCCATCCCTGCAGGAGGCTGTCCCCCCACAGCTCTGATCCAAGGATCAGGAAAGAAACAGTAAGCACCTCACTGCATGTTACTAGCCACTGGCAGAAAACTCAGCCCTCTCACATAGTGGGGAGGGGTGGTGATGACCCCGGGACACCAGGGTTATATGTGGAGGATGGGCACTCAGTATGTGCACTCAGATCCACAGCGAATTTTCACAGCTGGCTCGAACACAACAATGGGCTTTCCGTAAACCCTGGCAGTGTCCAGGGACCTCCCATCTGTTCAGTGTATATAGGGGGGGACGTTGGTCTCCAAGCTTCTTGCCTATCTCAGGACGTGCTGCTGTTTAATGAATAAAGGTCTTCTTGTTGTGTTTTGTTTCTCGGTATCTCTGGATCTTCCCCCCGACTCTGCCTGCAGGTGCTGAGCGTGTCATCTCCTCAGTTTGTTCAGAAGCAGCCCTTCACTTCACACCAGCCGCAGCAGTGGCTGGAAGATATTGGCCAAGGCAATTAGCTACACTTCTGACAAACCCCATGCAACCAAGGGCTCTTATTCTGGCTGCTGGAGCTGAGGGGAAGAGGTTACCATGCCTTTAATATACAGCAACTACAAAATGGCCGACAGCCCCATGGAGGTCACCTCAGCAATGCCATCCGGAAGCCATGACACAACCTCAGGGTCTGAGGTAACCAGGAAGTGATCACAATTCACCTGGGAGAAAGTCCGGCTCCCAGTGATCAGGGATTCACGCCCTGGGGAGGGTTTCCTTTTATATAAGTATGTTAATAAAAAATCACTTTGAAGACCAGCTCACTCTAGCCGATAGCATTAAAGGCGCGTTTGCTTCCATTAAATGCCAATCTCTTGGTGGTTTTATTTTGTCTATTAGCAGCAGTGATCGTCACCTTCAGTGTTCAAGACCCATGTTACTGCAGTGGAGGAATATTTTGCATCAAAATCTTTGGAGCTGAAAACAGCCAAAAACTGGAGAATAGTTGAGTTTTGGACAAAATGGCTCGGGCTCTTGGTTTTCCAATGAAAAATCAATTTGTTTTTTAGGATAAAAGATACTTTCCAAGACATCTTTTGTTTCATTGAAAACCCAGTTTTCCACTGAAAAAAGTTCTGATGGAAAATTTTTGACCCCGCACAATTGAGGTTATTTATGGAACTTTCACTTTGAACTTCTAGACTTTCAAACACTTACTTGTTCTTAATTCTACCTTAGGCCTAGTCTACACTCAAAAGTATCAGTATAATTAGAGGAGTGGCTTTTTTTTTTTACTGAAATAGCTATACCTCTCCAACCCCTGGTGTGGACACAATTATACCAGTGTAAAGGTGCCTTATCCCTGTTTAGCTTATTTCCCTGCCTATACAGAAGAGCTATATTAATATAACTGCATCCACACTAAGGGTTTGTAGTGCTTTAACTAAACTTGCTACTGTAGACAAGAATTTCCTAGTTTCCATAGTTAGACTTCTGTTAATGTCCACAAACTGTTTTCTAATGGATTCCCCTGCCGCCGCCCCCAAAGCATTTAATTAAGTCTTTATAACCTCAGCTCAATCGTAATGATGGTTTTTTGTCTGGAAATAACAACGGCTTTGGGGTGAAGAAAGTCACTGCTTAGCTGGAGCTGTTTCCATTTTTACAGCAGATTAGGAATAAAGAGGAGGACATGGAAGATGCAGATAATTAGATAGAAGAAGGATCAGGTGAAAGGAAGAGGCAGCACCATGCATTCAGTGAGGGCAAAGCAGATGAAGTGAAGGACTGTTCTGCTGAAGGCTGGAATACACCCAGAGACTCTGTTGGTATAAATTGGCTTAACTCCACTGATTTCAAGAGAGCTAGGCTGATTTACATCAGCTGAGGACCTGGCCCTATGAGGCCTTCACATTTTTTGGTGTATTGGTCTTTTTTTTTTTTTTTTTTTTAATAAGCTCAGGGCTTAAACCCAGGGCCAATATTGGGTTTGCCTTGTTGATGATCACATTTAGCTCTAGTGCAATAAGAGCGTGGTTCCCACAGACTCTACAGGATAAATTACACAGCCCCTTTCAGCTGAGCATCTCAAAGTACATTACAAAAGTAGGTGAGGATTTATTTTTTAAACAACCGAGGAAACTGAGCCGCAAAGAGGGGTCGGCCCACATGTTTGAAGATATTTAGGCGCTGCTGTGCCTCTCATTTTCCAAAGGGATTTTAGCACTTAGGAGTCAATGGGATTTTAGAAAATGAGACTTAAAAGGCCTGGTTTACACTACAGAGTCAGGCCGACGTAAGGCAGTTTATGTCGGCCTGACTCTGTGTGTCTACACTACCATGTTGGGCCTGCCTATGAACGTCGCCCATTACACCAACCTAATCACTCCAGCTCCGCAAGAGGCATGGTGTGTAGGTCCATGTCGTTTGGGCGACGCAGTGTCTGTGTTGACACTGTATTACTTACATTGCCTGTTAGCTGTCAGCTCTGTACAGCCCGGAGCTCTGTAGCTGCCTCCTGATGACAGTTTGGGCGGGAGGAGAGCCCTAGCCCAGCCGCCGCTGCCCAGGCTTGAGCTGGGCCCCCCATTCCTCACTGGGAGGCTGCTGGACTCGGACTCTCCTTCTCCCGGCCCCCTGAATCCCTCACCGAGAGGTGGCAATGGGGTACTGGGCTGTCAGCCACAGGGGTCCAGCTGTCAATGCCCCACAATGCCTCACTTCAATCGGTGGAAGCACTCCTGGTAAGGACGCGTACTGCTGACAAAAGAAGCAAGTGTGGACATGAACCACCGCTTTAATTATTGCGGTGGCCATACGTCGACCTAACTTAGGTGGACTTAATTTTGTAGTGTAGGGTTAGGCTCCTAAATCAGTTAGGTGTTGAGCACCGCAATGACTGAGTACCTTTAAAAATCCGGGCCTAAGCAACTTGCAGAAGAACAAATGTTGAGACAGTGGCAGGTCTCCCAAGGCACAGCTCTGAATTCACAGCCCCTTGCTCCAACCACTCTCTCCTTTCTCTGAGTCTTGGAAAAAGCCAATTCCCTGCCTAGGGGTCTCCAAGGAGGTGTATTCCGTGAGAAGCCCTCTGGTTACTTGATTAGTTGCAGCCAGAAGTTGAGCTAATAATGGGCGGAGCCGCTTTCAGTGAGTGGCTGAGTGAAGATTTCTGGCCCACAATGAGGCATTTGCTGTCTGTGCTAAGATTTGGGTGGCTCCCAGAAGGCCCCTGATGGCTTGGAGGGAAATTTGCGTAATTTCATTATCCACAGCCTCACTACCAGCCAAACCCACACTCGGCTTAACAAGAAAAACAAAACTGGAACTGCCAATCCTCTGGGAGCCTTCCAGGCCTGACACAGCCTCGCTGGCATTCTGCCACGTCTTGCCCTTTAACAACGACCAAGCCTCTTTGGAAATGAGATGCTGCATGGAATGGCCCAGCTGGGCACGGCCCCAGTCACAGTGCATTCCAGCCCGCAGCCCTGAGGTGGATGGACGAAGTCCTGAGCTGTTCCGCAGCCTTGTCAGGGCATCCATGTTACACGGCTGTCGCCTTTACAGAAGAAGCAAGTTTCCTTCCCGGCCCTAGCGCTGTCCTCCATCCTGGCCCCTCCCCTTGCTGGCTGCTCCTGGCTGACCCTTGTGAGTGCTGAGAGGAAGGAAGGGTTGTGACACACTTTCTCTTCTTCTTTCCTCTCACCACCTCTTTAAAATAGAGGTGCCCGGGGCCAAAGGGAAATGAAACGGGTGTGCAGCAAAGACGACTCCGTCTTGTTCTGAGTGGATGCAGGAGGAGGCAATGGGGTAGCCTGGGACGAACTTGCTTGTGCAGCTGGCAATGATGGTGGGAAGGCAGATCTTGGCACTTGCTCCCAGGAAGGAATTTTTGGCTTACTTCAGAACTGGTGGATGTGCCGCTGCTTTATCATCTCTCCCCATGTGCCTGTGAAGAGACAAAGGGACCATACAGCAACACAAAGTCCAGGAAATCAGCAGGGAAGGCACCTATCTCCATGCAGGACCAGTCCACCTCTCCTCTGAATGCCCTCCAAGTCTCATCTCCTCCTCAGTCCTTAGGCTTCTTCCCCAATGTGCACCTGACCTCAGCCCCTTGCCATGCCCATCATTGCTCCGCCAGTTGACAGAGAGCAAGTGTGTGTGGGACAGGGGTTTTGCTACAGAAACTTCTTACCCTTCAGAACCTCTGCTTAGAGGCTAAACGGTCCCTGTCTCTTTGGAGCCAGCTGGGATTTTCCCTTTATAATTCCTTCCCTCTCTTCACCACGTGGGGAGAAGAGCTGTGCAGAAGTGTTCCTCTGGGAAAGAGTAGCAGAGCCATCTCCAATATGCAACAGATCTCATTAAAGAGATCTGTGATACTTTGGCCTGGAGGCCTCTGCCCTAGGCATTAAAGGAAGGGCAGAAATAGCAGAGCAGGAAAGAAGTGTTCATAATGAGATCTGGAACTGTACAAAACTTGCCTGCTCTGGGGTTTGAAACGCCAACCAGTTTCCCACGGCTTCAGGGCGAATTGCCTCCCCCTTTGGATCTGAACTGCCTCAGATCCCCGGGGCATGTGGATCCAGAGTTCAGCCCAGTCTAGACATGGGAATCCAGATTCCAAGGGGTTTTGGATAAGGCTCATTCGCAAGAACGGCTGGCGGCAAAGCTTGGGTTGGAGCCCAGAGTTCTAGGATGTTTAAGGTTGGATAGGCAGCGAGTTATATGGGCCTGTGGTGCCCGTGCTCCACCAATATTCAGGAACATGGGCCAGGCTCCACCAATGTTTAGGCTTATATTTAATCAGAGCCGTCCAGTCCATAGGACGAACCAGGGCAACTACCCTGGGCCCCATGCTTCAGGGAGACGCAGGGTCCAGGGCAGCCTGGGGGGATAGCGTGGGGCCTGGCACCCGCAGCAGTGAGTGGCCCAGCCCCAGCCCACCCCGCCTCTTCCCGTCCCTGCCCCACCCCCATTCCACCCTTTCCCTCAAGCCCCCGCCCCACCTCTTTCCGGCTTCTGCACCTCTCCCCCGAGCGACACTGGGAGCCAGCAGAGCCACCC